GAAACTTAAAATCGCAACACGAAAATGAAAATCGCAACACGAAAATGACTATCGCAACGCGAATTTGACTATCGCAACGAGATAATCACAACGCGAAATGAAAATCGCAACGAGAAAATCGCTACGCGAAACTAATATCGCGTTGCGATTTTGCCGTTGCGATTTTCATTTCGCGTTGCGATCCTCGGTTTCAAATAGTCATTGTCTAAAATTGAAACTTGAATGAATTGCATTACTTCAACCAAAAGACAAAACAAAGACAAATATTAACTTCACAGGGTTAAAGACTAAACAGTTTAGCAGTATTGGCAGCAATCAAATGAATTTAATAAGCAATCTAAGTGAAATGGTTAATCTATTATTGAAATTACCAGTAAACTTATCATCAATTTCAATATGAAAAACCTAATAATAATGCAAAAATTTCAAAATAAAAATAATTAAAAAAACTAACCATCGGTGGTTGATTTGGTTGATTTTCCATTTCTGACAGTGAATGATTGTAAGGGTGGCTCTGAGAGATGGAGATAGACGGATTTTGCCGGAGATGGGGAATGATTTCGTCGGAGATGGGGACGGATGTCGCCGTAGAGAGTGAGAGATGGAGATGAGACTGAGTCGTGATTTAGGGTTTTAGGTTAAGAGTTGCGATTACGGGATATATTAATATTCGTGTTTGGAATTTGAAAATAAAATACGCGTTGCGATACTAATGGCACTTTGAAAATCGCATTGCGATTTTGTATTATCACGTTGCGATAGTCAGAATCGTGTTGCGATTATGTATTATCACGTTGCGATAGTCAGAATCGCGTTGCGATTATGTATTATCGCGTTGCGATAGTCAGAATCTCGTTGCGATTTACATATTCGCATTGCGATAGTCAAAATCGCGTTGCGAATCTGGAAACTGATTTGTGATACTAGGGATCGTGTTGCGATTTTGTTGGTCATTTTGCCAAATCGAAAAAAAGTTGGTCAAAATCGTATATTATAAGGAATTTTTGGTCACTGAGGTTATTTTCTCATATATAAAAGTATCTATATATAGATATGTATATAAATATATATAAGTATATATGTATGATGTATATAAGTATATATGTATGATGTATATATGTATGATGTATATAAGTATATACACAAGTGTGTCTGTGTGTATATATATATATGTCATTAAACATAAGTGACTAAATAAAAAATTCTAAAATTAATATTCACATTTAATAATTGTGCACATTAAAGAAAGAAGAGAAAATTAAAAGTAATTAGAATGTATACAATACTAAATTGCATTGAATTGAAAAATTCAAGAAAAGATTTATAATTAGACCATGACTAAAATGAAAGAAATTAAAAACTAAATTACAAAATAAAAAACCACTTATTGTTAGATGACCACTTTTCTAATTAACCCAAAATATCTATTGGGAATTAAAAAAGACACCAACATTTGTCAAAAAAAATTAAAAAAAAATTCCTCTTCCCTTTTCTAAATTCCCAAAATAATCATTTTTTTCCTCTTTCCTCTTTTAAATTCTCAAAAAATCAATTTTTTCATCTTCTAAATTTTGGCAAAAAAATCTAATTTGTCAAAGTTTGGAAATTCCCTCTTCTAAATTTTTAAACAATTAATTTTCCCTAAAAACAATCTTTCTTTTAAAAAATTCTCTCACCACTCATGTGAATATATATATATATATATAAAAGTTTATTGTTTATTTTAAATTAATGTTTAAATTTTAAAATTTAAAATTTTCAATCTCAAGTAAATTTATTTTTTATATATATTTTAAAATTTTAAGTTAAATTATATTTAAATTATTAATTAATGCATATGAATAAATAAATTCAACTTATAAATATTTAAATTAATTTCATATAATCTAATAAAATTATGTTCAATAAATAAATTATTTAATGAAATTAATTTACTGATTATAATTAAGATTTATAATATAAGGATTACAATTAATATAGAAAGTAAATTTATTAATTTAATTATCATAACTAATAATTTATGTTAAATTTTAAAGAGTAATCATTTTAATTATCATCCTTTATTTAATTGTCAAAAAAATTATCATAACTAACGATTTGTTTTAACTTTTAAAAAGTACTCATATTAACTATCATGATTTATTATAAATTTAAAATATCACAACTTTATAAATTGTAACTTATAAGTCAAGTAAATATCAGTTCAATTTAATAATAAGTCGGATCATTTACATGTTAAGTCAATTACAGATCATGTTTATTACAGGTCAGGTTGATAACATGTCGAGTAATATAAATTATTTACCGGGTTAATCTTGGTTTCAGGTTCATATCAAGTTGAGTGTAGGTCGAGTTCGATTATCACATTATCAAATTCAATTTAGGTTCAGGTCGTTCTCAGTTTGGGTTCATGTCATAAATTTTCAGGTCCAACTCGAATTTAGATCAACACAAGTTTAAACTCAAATTAATTTTAATCACCAGATCATAAATAATTTTGACACAAATCAATTTCTGTCAATTTTCAAGTCTTATCAATTTTTTACATCCCATTCGTACTATTTTGTCGTGAACAAATTTGACTGTTATTCTCATGTCAACAATCAAGACTAAATGAATTTGTACCACAACAATCAAGACTAAAAGGATAAACACCGATGGATGGATAAACACGTCTATCCCGTGCTATTAAAGTACTTCTAGCAACTCTTTGGAAAAAAAACAAAAAGGAGAGGATATTTAAAAAAATATCGAAGCAATAAGTAACTCTAATTATATAACTTACTATTTAAGTTTATAGCCTATGGTATATCAATAATGACTAAATTGCTAGTTGGTAAAGTATCACAGCCTTTCTTTTAAAATAATTTGTTTCTTTTCGAAGTTGTATTTTAAAGTTGAACTAAAGAAGATATTAACGTTATCCGTTTATCATTTAAATTGAAGTTTTGTCAAACAGTGGCGGATCCATTTAGAGTGGATACAAAAATTCAGTTAATTATCTATTTTATGAGTTATTTTCATTTTAAAGTTTTATTTATACACATTTTAAAAAATTATATATATATATATATATATATATATATATATATATATATATATATATATATATATATATATATATATATATATATCCACCCTCCAATATATTTTTGAATTAACCATTGTTATCAGCTAAATTTGTTTTATTTAAGTAAATGAATTGTTTGTTTATAAATAATGAAAATAATGAACCTATTGAGTGGTTTTAGTAGTAAAAAATAGTGTTATTTACTTTTAAAGTATTGAATTCAAACAACTACATTTGTAGTACGGTGTCTGCATTATCAGTGGTTAAGAAAGATTATGAAAAAAATACTTATAATCACTTAAATTATAAAAAATAAAATAATTAAATATTTTTATTATAAAATGCATTTTTAAAATATTATTTTTATTAATATTAATAAATGATAAAAATATTAATTTCTTATTTTATTGGTTGATACATTATAATTTTGAATTGGTTATGGAAGTTCAACTAAAGCATTTCAATCACTTGCTCCATTAGATTATTGAAGAATTTACTATTTCGTAGATACTTAGTTTTTGGTTACTCTTATTTATGGTTATAAGGAGCTTTTCTTCTTCTTTTTTCTTTCTCTTTAAATAAATTTTAAATCTAATCTTAATCTTCTCTAAAATAAAAAAAGCTCTAAGAAAAAAAAGTGTTCTTAGTGGATTTAGAAGTTATAGCTCATAATCTAAAGGAATATAAAAAAATAAAGATGAACGACTAATTAACCAACCAAATATACCTATTCAAAAAATGCATATTTACCAACAGGGGTTGGTTTAAGTGGTAAGCAGTTTGATTCCGTTTAAATAATATATCATATTCGAGTCTTTGTATATACAGAAAATCCATACAAGAAAACTCACCTACCAAAATCAATTGTGCGATGCTGATCAGTTTAAATAATCAATATAAAACCTTAAAACTGATAGAAAAAAATATATCTTTTCTGAAAATCTCTTTTAATAATGTCTTTCCCATAATAGTTCTTCTAACAATATATCTTTTTTGGATATCTTTAAATTTACTCATTTAAAATATAATAAATTCTTTCAAACAAAAGAAAATCCTACAATAAAAATATTAAATTCCTAAGTTTATCTATATTCGGATCAAATTAGCACTATAAATTAATGGAACATTAATTTAATTATCAACTGCTAGATTAAATTGATGTTATTGATTTAATTAAAATTTCAAACAATGAAAAATAATTAAAATGTTATTATTATTAAATAATAGTGTTTTTATTTTAAAAAATAAATTACATAATTAACAAAGATATTTTTATTTTTTTATTAATGAAGTTGTTTATAGACCTCCATCACATCACCTATATATATTTTAAATAAAATATCTTTCACAGTGATAGTGGATGTCCCACAATCTAACATTATAAAATAGGGTACACTATACATTTATTACATAAATTATTAATTTTATTTCATTTTGGTGATCTTAATTTCCAAAATATACTTAATATTTATTTTAAATTTCATTTTAATACTTTTTCATTTAAAATTTAACAAAATTATTGATGTGGAATTTAAAAAAATTTAATAATGGTGTGACATTATTTTATGGTGGCACTTCAACATCACCATTAAGTTTTAAATGGCGGGTATCAAAATGAAACATAAATATATGTTAGAATGATTTTGGAAAGAAATAAAGATTGAGTACCGAAATAGAACAAAATTAATAGTTTAGATATTAAATGTTAAATTTACCCAATTTATTACTAATGTTAAAATATTAAATAGTTTATGTTTTACGAAATAGATAAAAAGGGATTACCTGCCCATGTATAGTTTTCTTTTTTTGCACGATGTCTCGTAGTGTGTGCATTTCACTTTAAAATCAAGCCGACCAACCCACCGCAAAACTAAGTCTCACCTCCTCTGTTTTCGTCTTCCACTGTAAAATAATTAAACCCTGTTTATGTCTTGGTAAGGCAAATTGATCCTTCATTTCCGAATCTGGGTTGGCGGGGGAAGCCATTTGAAGCCAAAGGTTAGAAACTCAGAACCCAAAACAGAATAAAAGAAAAAGAAGAAGAAATAGATAACAGTAAACACACATATATACAGTATTGTGCTGTATGTCAATAGAGTACTACAGTGCTAAGTACTACGGTGAGGTTGCTAACCCCTTGCAATGGCCTCAACTCAGGAAAAAACGACGCCTTGTTTTATTCCCAAGGTCCATCCGTCTTCATCTTCTCAGGTGCTACGTGTCGCCGTCGCCTCCGGGTCTGATCCGTCCGAGGATACCGTTCCCAAGAGAGCTCCCATGGCGACCCTGATCCGACCTGTTGAACCCATACCGGATCCTCCAGCTACAAAGACCTCTGCCACCACCAAAGGTTTCAAACTTCTCTTTTTGTTCATCATTTGTTGGATAATCTCTTGGCTGGCATTACTCTGAATATATGTTTCTTGTACAAATTTATGATTATGTTATGTTACATAGGTATTTCAATCATGACAAGGGCTCAAACCAGCCATCCATTGGATCCATTGTCTGCTGCTGAAATCTCTGTTGCAGTGGCAACCGTAAGGTCAGCTGGAGCAACCCCTGAGGTAAAAGAAGAAAGTTTTAATTTCTTCAGTTTTGATGTTATCATTTTAGTAGCTTTTTTTTCACATGAATTAATTGATGTGTATGTATACCTTGTTGGTTTAACTTGTATTGATGCATCAATTTTGTTGTTTTCATTCCAGTGGCTGTTTATGATGTGTATTTTGTTTCCTTAGGTGAGAGATAGCATGCGCTTTATTGAGGTGGTTTTGGTGGAACCAGAGAAGCAGGTTATCGCGTTGGCGGACGCATATTTTTTTCCCCCTTTCCAGCCTTCATTACTTCCCAGGACAAAGGGTGGGCCTGTGATTCCTACTAAGCTTCCTCTGCGCCAAGCGAGACTTATCGTTTACAACAAAAGGTCCAATGAGACCACTGTATGGATTGTTGAATTGTCGGAAGTTCATGCTGCAACTCGAGGCGGCCACCACCGGGGCAAAGTCATTTCATCTAAAGTTGTCCCGGATGTCCAACCTCCCATGGTAAATTATGTGTTGAAATGGCTTCCATTGATTCATTTGGAATTTATATAGGTAGCCTGTAGGTGCCGACTACAGTTGCATCGCTGTGCACAAAATACTATTAGAACACCTTTAATAAGTGACTTTATTAGCTATCATATGGATTGGAACAATCAATAGCTGTTCATCTATGTTGTGTTTATCCTCTGTTATGGTTTTTTTACACCAAGCATATATGACGAATCTGTAACCGGCATGTTTGTCCATCAATGTTGTTATTCTCAAACTATAGGATGCTATGGAATATGCTGAATGTGAGGCTGTCGTTAAGAACTTTCCTCCATTTCGAGAGGCAATGAAAAAGAGGGGCATTGAGGATATGGATCTTGTGATGGTTGATCCTTGGTAAGCGATTATTCTTAGATTCATATACCTGTGTATTCTACAAAATCATTTCTATATTTCAGGTGTCTTACCCTTTCATATTCTGGTGCCTTTCCTTTTCCTATAGGTGTGTGGGATATCATAGCGATGCTGATGCCCCTAGCCGAAGACTTGCTAAACCACTTATCTTCTGCAGAACTGAGAGTGACTGCCCCATAGAGAATGGTTACGCTCGTCCGGTTGAGGGAATACATGTCCTTGTTGATATGCAAAATATGGTGGTGATTGAATTTGAAGACCGTAAAATTGTTCCCCTTCCACCAGCTGATCCGTTAAGAAATTACACTCCCGGTGAAACACGTGGAGGTGTTGATCGAAGTGATGTGAAACCACTACAGATCATTCAACCTGAAGGTCCCAGTTTCCGTGTTAGTGGGAATTTTGTTGAATGGCAAAAGGTGCTTGGTTCTGAAACTTTAGTTATAACTTTGATCAGTTCTAGTTGTACTGATTATTTTATTTGTAATTCTGGTTTCAGTGGAATTTCCGAGTCGGTTTCACTCCTAGGGAGGGTCTTGTAATCTATTCCGTTGCTTATGTTGATGGTAGTCGTGGTCGGAGGCCTATAGCCCATAGATTAAGTTTTGTTGAAATGGTAGTTCCTTATGGAGATCCAAATGATCCGCATTATCGGAAGAATGCATTTGATGCTGGAGAAGATGGGCTGGGTAAAAATGCACATTCTCTTAAGAAGGTTTGTCTCTTCTTTTGTGCTTTTGTTTTCATGTCGAGTTTCATTTAGATCTTCCATATCAATAATTTAAGTTGTCATTTCCCCTTATTTCCCCTTTATCTTTTGCAGGGTTGTGATTGTTTGGGATATATCAAGTACTTTGATGCTCATTTTACAAATTTCACTGGCGGTGTTGAAGCAATCGAGAATTGTGTTTGTTTGCACGAGGAGGATCACGGGATCTTATGGAAGCATCAAGATTGGAGAACCGGTTTAGCAGAAGTCCGACGGTCGAGAAGATTAACAGTGTCATTTATATGCACTGTAGCTAACTATGAATATGGTTTTTCCTGGCATTTCTATCAGGCAAGTCGGTGTCTGCCGGGATCGTGTTCGCTTGCTTTGCATGAATATACTTATTGTATCTAATGATCCTTTGGTTTTAGTGGTTTGTGTTACTTAAAATCTGAATGATGGGTGCATGTTATAGGATGGTAAAATTGAAGCTGAGGTTAAACTCACTGGAATTCTCAGCTTAGGAGCATTGCAGCCTGGTGAAATACGGAAATACGGCACTACCATTGCTCCCGGATTATATGCTCCTGTTCATCAACACTTTTTTGTGGCTCGCATGGACATGGCAGTTGATTGTAAACCTGGTGAAGCATTTAATCAAGTAAGTTGTCTGGTTATTCCTTTATAGTGCTCTAGCTCCTTTACCACAGTAATATTTTTTGCTTGTAATATTGATCATGGTCATGTCTTTTAACTGTCGTTTGCTCCTATAAAACATTTTCACATTCTTACAGGTAGTTGAGGTGAATCTTAAAGTTGAAGAACCAGGGAAGAGTAATGTTCATAACAATGCATTCTATGCTGAAGAGGAAATACTCCGATCCGAACTACAGGCAATGTGTGATTGTGATCCTTTGTCTGCACGCCACTGGATTGTAAGTAATATTCTAACATTTCTTTGCCCAAATTGCACTACCTTTTACATGTAAGAGGTTTCTTTTATGTTTTTTGTACATGCATGTTCAAATAAATTGATCCCTCAACTGTACTTTTCGAGGTTTTAGGTTCGAAACACACGAAATGTCAACAGGACTGGGCAGCTGACAGGCTTCAAACTGGTACCTGGTTCAAATTGTTTACCACTGGCTGGCTCTGAGGCAAAATTTCTTAGAAGAGCAGCTTTCTTGAAACACAATCTTTGGGTCACAGCCTATTCGCGTGACGAAATGTATCCTGGAGGGGAGTTTCCGAATCAAAATCCGCGTGTTGGGGAGGGATTAGCTACTTGGGTTAAGCAGAATCGATCTTTGGAAGAAGCTGATATAGTCCTATGGTTAGTTTCCGAATCGTGCTTTTCTCAAGAACGATAGCAATAATCGAACTTGGACCCGGATTATGTTGGCAATTATGTGCAGGTATGTCTTTGGTGTGACGCACGTTCCTCGGCTGGAAGACTGGCCTGTTATGCCGGTGGAACGCATCGGTTTCATGCTCATGGTAACTTCACGTTTTCCTTTTTTGATAAATCGTTGATTTTTCCCAGACATTTAAAACTTACCCTCTTATATTCATAATGCAGCCACACGGTTTCTTTAATTGCTCGCCGGCGGTTGACGTTCCTCCTAGCGCCGCCGATCTGGAGCTGAAGGACGACATTGCGACCAAGCCTGTCCAAAACGGGATAATTGCTAAGCTTTGAGTTTATCTTCAATTCGGATTTTAGTACGATGATGGTTTGCAGTTAATATATTCATCAAATATTTAGTTGAGCCATTGGCCGTAAAGCACAAACTATTAGGTACTGAATTAAGCATAAAAGACTTGTAAGGGGTATGGATTACCCTTAATATTTGTTGAACTGCCTTTTAATCATCATGTTTTTCTTTTTTTAATTTTAAAGAATCGTTATGGGCTTTATTCATGTTGGTGTTTTTGAAGTTCATCATGACTCCATTTCTTAATATTATTGTTTATGTACTTTTTGTTTACGATGGAGAAGATAATGTTCAAGCTCAGGCCGTCCTTCTGCATGGGCAAAAGGGGCGCTTGCCCAGGACCTTTCTTGTCCAGGCTCTAAAATTGTAAATTTACATATAAAAGATGTTAAATTATTTATTTAGTCACTTATCTATTATTTCATTTTTATTTTAGTCATTTAATTTTTTTTAAAAATGATACTTAACATTACTTTTTTTTTAACTCTATCATTAAAAAAATTAACGGCAAAGTTGATATAACATTTTTAAATTATTTTTTTACTTTCCACTTAATTATTCTTTTGTTATTTTTTTTGACAAGATAAAGAATGTTACAATCTAACCTCACTACAGCAAAATTGGTTTATAACTGTTTTTTTATCCTATAGCGGCGTTTAAAAGCGCTGCTAAAAATACTACAGGTGCAAAAAATAACGCCGCAAAGAACGCCACTAATACAAATATCGCAACCATTTTCTACTAATAAACGCCGTTAAAAGTCCAGTTATGTAGCAGCGTTTGTATACTAAAACGCCGCTAAAGGTCAATTTATATGGTGGCATTTTAGTATACAAACGTCACAACAGGTTCGACATTTAGCGACATTTTATGGCACAAACGCCGTAATAGGTTGGTAATTTAGCAACGTTTTTCTTAAAATCGCCACCAAATATGCACTCCGTTAGTGGCATTTTGCCCCTAAAACACCGTTAATCGAAACTAATTTTCAATATATCTTCTTCCTATTTTGTATTACCCAAATTTAAGCTGTAACAATATCCAATAACCATCTTAAATTTAATTATGATTCGAATTAAGTAATAATACATAAAAACATAAATAAATTAAAGTTTACAAACATCCAAGTTAAATATAATGTAGTTCAACAATTTTCAAAAACATAAACAAACCATTAACCTAAGAAAACACCTAGGATGATGAATTCTTCAGTTGATTATGATGCACCATTTGCTTTATAGCCTCAATTTAATTTTGAAGTTCTTCATATTTTTTTTGAAATGTTGCTTCTCTCTTTGCTCTCTCTGCTTCTCTGCTCCATAGGAGAGCCATCTTTTTTTGTATGTGTCATTTCGAAGAGCTTTATTCGTCAACTCTATTTTCGGAAGTGATTTCCTATAATGTAGAATATAAATTAATACTTACAAAAAAGTAATAAATAATAGAAAAAATGTTAATTACTATATGCTACCAACTTAAAATAGTCATAATCATAATAAAAAGAAAAAAATAATACATGTTCATGAGCTACACGAGCAAAGCTTTTCGATCCAGCAGTATGTGTAAACTTTTGTTGTCAATATATAATCATACATTATTTCATTTTCTAAACCCAACAAGCATAATGCTAGTATGCTACTAATATTATCAGCTTGATAACATAAATTCATGTTTGAAAGTCATCAGAAAACAGAAAATTACTAAACTGAAGATAAACATAGATAAAGCATCAAATGAGAGCAAAAGGATTATTTTGACCAAAATTTTTGCAAATGAAGAACTATTCTTATAAGAAGCAAAACTTCTATAAATTAAGCATTTAAGTATACTCCAAGTCACCAAGTGCCAAAGCAACTGCATAGAAGTTGGGGACTCCACTCCTTATTTTTTAGGCCTTAATATGTATAACAATAAAACTTTTTATCGATTACAGCAACAAAAGCTTTCAAATCTCTTTCACCATTGTAATCTTCACCAGTTTTGTTGCCCTTGAGAAAGAATTTCAATGTCGGAAATCCGGTTACTTTGTACCTGCACTCATAAAGCATAGGCATTAATATGCATCAACAGAATCCTCCTTTTATAAAGGAAATCCTAACTTATTGGCCAAATGTACACTTACTTTTCCGCTAAATCTTTGTATTTATCGGCATCTTGATTAGCTATTATTACATCATCATCCATTTTAAATGATGTCGCTACCTCTTCATAGGTCTATATAGACAAAGAAGAAACAAAGGGTTAGAATAGTTTGCTACTTCAGCCAACTCTATAAAGCAAATATATAGATGTTTACAGGGGCAAGGATTTTCCAATGGCCACACCTAGCAGGAAAAAGTTAAAACACATTCAGTAGAAAAATAAAATTGAAGCAGAAGAATTTCACCAGCAAAACTTGTTACATGCATGAGGAAAATAAACCAAATGCTTACCAAGGAGCATAAAACTCAACCAACACGTCTTTGGTGTAACACCCCAACTCGTATCCGACCCGAATACAAGTATGAGATGTCACATTGACTTTTTAAAATGATATTATTATAAAATATCAAACATTTGAACTTATTTTAAGAAAATACAATAATATTCTATTAAAATTATACTTCATTATAAAAATCTGAAAAAAAATATGTATTTGTGAACAGTACTGTACGGTATAAACAATACCATAAACAATGAAAAATTTCAAATATCAATTGTGTATCGATGCACTGCTACAGTACTACTACAGTAACTTTCGTAAAACGTTCATAAAACTCGTAAAAATTTAACCGTTCATTATTATACATTTGCCATTTACATAAACATGTTTAAAATATTACAAAACTCTATCATATGATTTTAACAAAACCGATTAAAACATATCGTTTCAAACCTTTATTTACATGCCAACCACTATCATTATTACAAAATGCATACTATTCAATTCTCTTCTGATCTGATCTTTGGAAAGGAGAAACTAACCTGTCTTGCATAACTTTTATCAATCTTCCTCTTCTCGAAACCTACGTGTGAAACAATCACACGCTAAGTCATTGACTTAGTGAGGCACATAAAACATATAATAAAAATAATGCATTTCATATCCATATGAACATATCATCTACTCATTCAATCATGTCACATATGATTCCATGTAAATAATAATAGTATGATAACATGTAATAATGCAAACACTTTTATACCTTTTTGTAAGCCCATGTACATTACTGAGAACTCAAGGTATTCGAGTACATTGAGGTTGTGATGTCACCATAGCTCGTATAGGGTCCTACTAGGGGCATATGAATTTGTCTCGAATGACCTATATAATGTATTTGTCCCGAATGACCACTCCTTAAGAACCATATACATATTCCAATGGATCAAATGTGTCTCAAAAGACCCTGTAAATGTTCCAAATGATACATATATGTCCCGAAGGACCACGTAGAACCCTCAACTCTTGGCACGCCAACTATACCTATAGCTCTCGTTTCATATACCATGGGCATTATTCTTATGTTTCATATATTCATGTACTCATGTCATTTCTCCTGTGATCACATTTACTTTTTCTTCTGTCACATACCATATGTATGTGTAAACATCTATGTCATTTCATATAACATGTAATACATATTGCATATTCATATAAGCATGTATATCATGTCACATATAATATACTATACCCATTTTCATGTATTCATGCACATATCATAATCACAAATCAAATAACATTTTAGGAGTTACTTCTTACCATAGTAACTCTATCACTGGCTCATCGCAAGCCAATGTTCGTTCAATAACATAAGTACAATTAAAATTGCACTCACCTTAGCCTTGCTTTAATTCGATCCTAATTCTTTGATTGTTCTGGAACTTGTTTAGGCTCAATATCTACATAAACATAATTTTCGAGACAATTATCAAAAGCCTAAACCTTATAACTTGATATTAATAAATCAAGCTAGTTTAATAAACCAAGATTCCATTTTTTTTCCTTTAGGGGTGTATCGATGCACAATGGGTGCATCGGTACACAAAATAGCTTCGAAATTCCCATGCATCGATACACCCCTTAATGCATCGATGCACCTTCAAAATTTATCTTAGTGCATCGGTACACACTCATGGTGCATCGATGCACCTTCCCAGAATAGACTATTTCATCAAAAAATCATCAACACTTCACCCAAATATTCATGTATAAAATCCTTATTATGCTACTAAATTCATCTATAACAACTTTAACCAATTCCTATCATTCCAACCCCTTATAATCTTTCATATTTCATCCAAATTCTTAGGGCTAAGAATCATACCAAATTTTCCATGTTATCCAAACTTAATTCTAACACTTCTAACTTCTTATTCTAATAGATGACAAGTCAAATTTATCCTCCAAATTCATTTAAACCTTCTTATTCAAAATTTCACTTAAAAACTCATTTTCTTTAATATGTCATAACTCCTTTATCTTTTGATTTTAAGATAACTTAAGCTTTCCTTAAGCTTAGTTATCATCTAATGATAAAAACCCAACCTTTAATTCAACAAACAATCAACTAATTAAGAAACTCACCTTTTCTTGAGCTTTCACGTGGAGAAGAGAAGAAGATGAAGAAGATAATTGTCTGGAACTTATCTCTTCAATCATGCTCCACATGGGTATTATAATACCCATTAATTATTATTTAATTATTTTCCTTGTTAAATGACTCATTTGCCATTTGACTCCTTTAATATTTACTAACAACTTTAAGGAAATATCTCCACATAAATCATTGAACTATTCAACTATTCTACTTTTATCCCCAAATTATAAAATTTTACAATTTAGTCACTAACCTAATATTGAGGATGTTACAAATCTTCTTTCCTTTTAAGAAAATTTTTCCTCGAATTTTCATTGCACACATTGATAAGAACATATCTTCTAATGTTCTCATGTTGTTTCCTTTATTTAATATTTCCTTCCTTTAGTTCTTCAACTAACTTGTTCCTTTATTCATTCATCTACTGTCGTTTATCATATGAACAGTAACTAGTAACCTCATCCATTTCTTTCTTTTCTCTCATTTGATTATGCATTTCCCTTTGATTTTTTTTTCTA